AGCTGGAATCGGAGTCCACCACACGACTAATGCTACGTTCAGGACCGTACGCAGCAGGAGGAGCAAAAAAACGTGTACTGCTAACGTTAGCCCGTCTGCGACAACTCTGGAGCACTGCTTGTTCCCACGGTCCTCTCAACATCAGAACTTTTTACAATTACGCACTAAATCAGTAAATGGGCCATATAGTGAAGCTTAAAGCATAACGTTCTCGCCTCAAATCATCTTAAAAGGTATTTGGCAGATGAGAGTGCACAAGTACACATATTGAGAAACGGCCCTCGTTTTCAACATGTCCGACACACAAGAGAAGGAGAAGGAGGAGGTTACCTCTTCCTCTGCTTTGGACCTTTTGGCTTGAGACATGATCTCCTGCAGAGAAAGAAAACAACATTAAACCGGGTCCGACCGGGTCGACCAGAATAGGAACCGAAGCGAACCTTTGGCTCACCTCCTTAGACATGACATCAGCTATTTTATAGTCTTCATCTTTCCTCTTCCTCTTCTTCTTTTGTGACTCTAGAGTTGAGAAAAGAAGTCAAAACCGCTGGAACCGGGTAATCAGCAGCTCGTCTGAGACTCAGCTCACCTTTAAGATTCTCTGCAGCGCCGGCACCAGAACCAGCCTGAAGAAGAAAAAAAATTTAGAGACGCCGACAGGAGGAGGAGGGAGCTACAGAGGAGCTCCTGTCTCACCTTCATGGCCTTCTTCTCCAGCTTCTCCTTCCTCAACTTCTCCTGGAACACAGTTAGCAGTTAGCATCGGAGGTCCTGCACAGGAGCCTCAGAAACACAATACTATACCTCCTGCTGCTGCTGCTCCATCTTGGTAAGCAGGAACTTGGAGTAGATGTTGCTCTTCTGAAGAAGATGCTGCAGCCTCTTGAAGCGCATGTCCTGAGAGTCCTTCTGCCAGGACTCCTGGGCCTAAGGACCAGAAGCAGAGGCGTTATCAACAGGAAGTGACCCCTGAGCCATAGCTTTGTTGTGGTTGGTCCTGCCGATCACCTTCTTCATCATCTCCTCCTCTTTCCGCTCCCCTTCCTCCATCAGCTGCTGCTCCTCCGCCTCCATCTCCTTGGTGATGACGACCTCAGATGGCTCGTCTGACTTCACACCGCCGTCTGGTAGGAGGAGATTAATATTACGGGCTGAAACGGAATGTGGACCCAGACCCTGCCCACCTGAACCAAAAGGTCTAGACTGACCCGTTCTGGTCTCCATGGCCGTGCCCAGGGGCTCCTCGGACTCATTGGGTTTGGGGCAGAGAGGCGAGGCGCTGCGGGGTTCTTCCTTGATGCTGCTGGAAGCAAACAGAACATCAGATGTTTGGGTTCGCACAGAACCAACCCATAGGATCCAGGAGGACTGCAGGTTCTGTACAGGCCATGGATCCGTAGCAATGATGGAACCAAAGCTCAGAAAAACAGCCGGGAAACAGCAGCCCCATAACCGCTGACTGAAAGCACCCTGCTCTGCAGACCTCCAGAACAAATTTGACCTCCGAGGACAAAAGAAAGGAACCATTATATTCCATCTCCAGGGTCTAACTACAGACATAAATAGACCCCGTGTCATTGGGTGACAGGCGTGCTGACAGAGCGGCCATCTTAGTTCAAATCAAGCTCCTATACGTGGCGGTATGAGTCAACTGAGGCAAACCCTTCTTTTGGGCCCGCCACAGTCTTATATAGACAGACAGAGAGAGAAAACAACAACAACATAAAGATCTGTCACTTTATCAGATCATTCCACAGCTGTACTTTCATACCGCCCATAACCCAGCGCCATAAAGAGACAAATTGTTTATGTTATATTTTTTTCGAAGCACGCGTCCCGCCCTCCTTTATAAAAATGCCGCCCCGGCTGCTCGGTTCGCCTGTACAGTGTTGCCAACTCAGAGACTTTGTCGCTATATTTAGCAACTTTTCAGACCCTCTCTTTTTAAAACAAAGCGGCGTGTGTATGACGTCATCATCTGTGGTAGAAGCACTCAATATCTTCCAGGCATGTGAGGAAAACTATCAGCAGTTCAGTGGACAGGAAGAATAAATGGTAGCCGGAGCGCGCAGATGATGTCATTCACGCGCCGCTTTGTTTTAAAAAAATATATATTAATATCAAAAATATAACTGTGGATGTCTGGGGGACAGTGATTCGCCTACATGTAATGAGTGCTGGCGTACCATAAAGAATAAATTATGAACAGTTTAGTTTGTGCCTTCAAGTCGTTGCCCAAAGGAAGACGTTACTTGGATATAACCTAACGGAATATCTTCAGAACGGCTCCAAATGACACCTAACTCATATGGGTGAGTAGAAGATGATGTAATAATGTAAAAACAAGGGCCCAATGTAAAAAAAAAAAAGCTTTTCCCTTTAAAGGCACACTATGCAACATTTTTCAGTTAATTAATGTGTTCCATAACATTTTGGATGATTAAATGAGTCATTTCTGGTTGAACAAAGGTATTCTCGGCCGCCCTGGTGGTCTGTGGGGGAAATACCGCACTTGCAATTGCAGGAGCACCGACCCGCACCCACAGGCTCAGAAGTCTCGCGAGAGTCGGTCTTGCTTTATGGCGAGAACTGCTACACGCCCCCAGTTAAAAGCATTCTA